GCCTGTTCACAGCCTCCCAAGAGCTGGGATTACAGCACGTGCCACCATATCCAGTCTCAATTGCCTTCTTAGCGCACCCTGGGGGTGGGGCTGACACACACCTCTGGTTTTCTAGTTGTCTTGTATGCTCCTTTTGGCCTCTGATTAAAATAAATAAATAAAGAACCATTGCTCTGTAAATAGCTTTGCTCAAAGCCTTTAAATTTCCTGCATTCTGAGGTATTTTTGTTTCTCCTGTCTATTTCTCTTTTCTTGTTTCTTTCCCTATTCCAGACCTGCTGAGCCACCTACGGTTCTAATGAGTTCTTGATCCAAAATTTACTTCAAAGGGAGTTCTAAAGTTTATATTTTCTTCGATGTTTTTCATTTTATAAACAAAAATTTACTTACTTATTTATTTATTTATTTACTTGTTTGGTACAGGGTCTTGCTACACAGCTGGGATTTACAGTGATCCTCTTGTCTCAGCCTCCCCAGCACTGGGATTACAAGCGTGCAACACCGTGTCCAGTTTTGGTGGCTGGTATGGTGCGCTCGGCATGTGGTACAGGTGTCAAACTCCAGTCCTTGTGCTCACCAGACAGACCCTTAGACCGAGCTATCTCCCCAGTCCAATGTTTTACTTGTTGCTAGTTCCATTAACAAATAACTACAGACAAGGATTTTCATTATTTATATTTAAAAAAAAAACTTTGAAGGGTTGGGGCACTGTGAAAACAAACAAATAAATGATTTGGAAATTCTCATTGTAGTCCAAATCAGTGAATTTTAATAAAATAACATGGTGTTATCAAGCTGTAGGTGGGTAGTATTTATTTCAGTGTGTTAGGTATTTAAATGTTTATATAGAGAATCTCTATATAAACTTTTAAATATATATAGAGAGGGTCTCTGCATATAGAGATATCTCAGTGGACTAAGCTTCTACTTAGGCAAGCGCAGGGACCAAGGTTCCATCTGGGACACCATATGCTGCGCCTGAGTTGACCACTGAGTCTGGGCATGGGCGTATGCCTCTAATCCCAGTGCTGGGGAGGCTGAAAACAGGAGGATCGTTATGAGTCTGAGCTGCATAGTGAGACCTTTAATATATATATATATATATATTTCAGATATTTCTTTGGACAGGGATTTTAAGCATTCTTTGGGAAAGCAACTGATGAGAGCACAATCCAACAGTCAATTGGGCATTCTTAGAAATCCTAAGGAGAGGTGGCTTTGGCCTCCTTCATTCCTCTGCTTATGGGTTCATTTCTTCTGCAAGGTATTTGAGGGTGGGTGACTTTGCTGTTCTCCACCCAGCCCCATCCACT